GTATATATATATATATATATATATATATATATATATATATATATATATATATATATATATATATATATATAATGTTTACAACATGAGCGGCCGTGTTGTATCTCGCCTTCGGCTCGAGTTTGTATATCTGATACAACACGGACGCGAAATAACGAAATAACGTATTGTTAGAATTTGAATGCTTCAGCACTCTGCTGAATGCAAAGATGCGTAAAATATTGACAAGGGTGCATATATTAAATATTGACTTATTAAGAAATTAAAATATCTTTGTAAAGCGCACGATTTTCTGCTCTTGGGAATTTAAAACAGCTTCTTAAACGGTTTCTTTAAAGGCTGATTTCCACTGTTGCGTTTTTCATACGTACGTATACGCACGTAAAACTTTAAATCCGTTTAAATGTTACTTATGAAATAACCAAATAAATAAAGCAACATAATTTAGTGTTCCGCAAGTTTTAGTATGCATTTGTTATCTTATTTGTAAAATATTTAAAAAATTGAAGGATTCAAAGTTTTACGTGCGTGTACGTGCGTACGAAAAACGCAACAGTGGAAATCAGCCTTAAGCATAAAATTTACTTACGTCGAGCTTTGATGCACGTGTGGGTTCAGCAGAGTGCTAAAGCATTCAAATTCTAACAATACGTTATTTCAATAGTTTTCGGGTTTTTTGGGACACTCCGTATATCAAAAGAAATAGTATCGTACAAATTGAGATATTTATAGGATACAAAACAAAGTTGTTTTAAAAAGAATGTCACGGCTTTTCCCAACAGTCGGGATAGTTTTTGATATTTGTTTGAGGCAAATGTTTCGGAGACGGAGTTTTAAATAAGTTTTACATTGCTCGTGAATATGTTTGACAGAGTAAAATAATAAAGAAATCCTACCTTTCATTTTAAATACAACATTTAGTGCTTTTTTCTGGGACGATTTTTTCAATATTTTGTCGATTCATTCTTTTTGAAAAGCATTATTTACTAGTCAGCTAGTAAATAATGCGTCAGATTTACTAGTCAACTAGCCAATCAGAACGCGCGAAAGCTCATTTGATATGCAAAATTTATACTAAAAGGGGATAGTTTATATGACGCGGGTCGCGAGTCAATAGAAATGGCGCGGGTCCAGCGAAAATGGCGCGGGTCCAACGAAAATGGCGCGCGTAACAAGTTCCGAGGCGCGAGTGAAAAGTTCCGAGGCGCGAGTGAAAAGTTCCGAGGCGCCCGCGAAGTTCCGAGATCAATTGCCCGGTACTTATATTCAAGATGGCGGCTATTTTGACTAAAACCACACGCTAAAACTATTGACTAAAATTTCTGCAATTATTCGGTCAAATACATCGTCTCATTCTGTGGAAACTCTGCGAGCTTTAAACTTACAGACATCAATAATTAACTTAAGTAAATCACGTTTGGAGGCATTAATATACTCAACATATTTTTAAACACAAAGAGAGTGCACAGTTGGAATATTTGGACGAAGTCTGCCGGTCACTGTCAGCAATAGTATATTTGTATTATTATATAATTAATCTAAATTCTCTATATAATTTGGGTTAGAAAACCCCCACAATATTCTTAGCATTTTTTACGGCTTAAAAATTATAGTTATTTATACCAGTATAAATCAGTACCAAAAATTTAGTAATTAACGAATTGCCTGATTTTATTCACATATCATGACATTTTATTGATTTAATTATATATGATCAGTTTGACATATTTGCGCAAATGGCTGTACTGTAACACTATTTGCGCCAAACAGAAATATTAGTAAGCGAGTTGTACAAAAATTGTCAGATAGGCACCTTCACATCAATTTATTACATATTAGCATGTACTTCGCCCCACTTTAGAAATTTACTTTGGACTGTCAAATGCCTGACAATTTTACTATTGAAATTTAAAAATACACATGAGCCCCTAAATTTGCGTTCAAATATTCCAGATATTCGAGGGGGAGGGTCGTTGGGGTTTCGATGCCACAGGGTTTTGGTTAATGAATTTATGAAACACAAATTGTGCTCAATACCAGATCTAGATAATTATATTCTCTTTTGTTACATCTGAAATGGTTGGCCCTTGGTCAACGACCAGGCTATAAAATGTATTCAGAAATATGTCAAACTGATCATATAATTAAATCAATAAAAATGTCATGATATGTGAATAAAATCAGGCAATTCATAAATTATTACATTTTGATACTGGTATAAATAACCATAATTTTTAAGCCGTAAAAAATGTAAAGAATATATTGTGGGGGTTAACCAAAATTAAATAGAGAACTTAGATTAATTATCTTTTTACATTAATAACAGACTAGTGTTAGTATAATAATATACAAATATACTATTACTGACCGTGACAGACTATTTAATGTTCCAACTGTGCACTCTTTTGTGTTTAAAAATATGCTGAGTATAACGCCAATAAGAAAAGAGGATCAGCATCCAATGAGAATCACCAATTTTGCGTAGGTTAAGTCACGATAATGATATTAATGAGGCTATAGGTTCGTCAACCAGTACGAAATAGGAAGAGAGAGCGTCGTCGTATACTTTGTGTTTGTTGAAAGTTTACCTCCACCGCTCCACGACCTCTCTCTTCTCTTATCTTATTGTAGTAAACAATAAACGTCCGGACCTTTGCCTTGCGGTAGTCGTAGCAACTATGGCCACATGGTGGTGGGAATTGAGTTGTTTTTGCCGACAGCACTGAGACATTAAGAAATAGAAAACATTTTCAGTTTCGAGAACGATACATATAATCAGTAGGAAATCGCGCCCCAAGTGCGAGTTTCCCCACGTCGTTAATTTCGAGCAATTTCAAGCTCACAAGTATATAGGCTGGTTGCGAACTGATGCAAAGGTATTTCAAGAATGTTGAAAATAGTAATTATATTCATTTGAATTGCAACTTTAAATTACGCTAAACCAATATCAATTGTTTTTGTAATACAATAACTTAGAATAACATGCAAAGGCCGACTTTGCTTGGTTCCATACTAAAGTAAGCGCATGTGGAATAATTTCACTTGTACTGGCCATTTATTTATAAAACTTTTTACTGTAATCTTTACTTCTAAAAAGAAGAAATCATTACAATAGTTTAAATTTCACCAGAATCTGCATGAACTTACACCGGATGAAAATACCTTTCTACCCATGCATTATGACTCGATGTTATCTTGGAATAAGCAAAATGGTGTGTTGCATCTCACCATGGCAACCAGCAGGACGTGCTGGATCAGCAAATTTACAGCCGCATTCCTTAGCTGGTAAATCAAAGACTATAGGTGCGACAGCCGAAACAGAAAGTGTCCTTTTGCTTAGTGAAAACATTGCCAATCGCAGCGAATCTCCTCTGGAATTTAAAGCAACTGTTTTTAAAGTGTTTTGGGAAAGTCAACTGTGCTTTTCTTCTTGTTTTGAGAATGAAACTGTATATCATATTCCTTCTTGGAAATGCTTGGCTTCTCGTTAATATTGGCGGTAAGTGTTGACAAGTGTTTTGTTAACGTTACATTACCATAAAGATTTCTTTAACTCGTTTTTAATACACTCCTTCAGCGCAATTCTATATTGGTGATTAAAAATGTACGTTAGATTTTATAATACAACATATTTCCATGAGGACCTTCCAAGAAGAGTTATGCATATCAAGGTATATGGCGTACTTTTCAAGTGAAATATTGATACCATATGTTATATAAGGTCAAGTTCTTATATTGTGCGAATAAATTAGTTTGATGACAATTGCTTATCAGGAGGATTGGGAAATTCAAATTTGTTCCACAATGTGCAATTATCTGACTATTACCCCTGACTGGCAACAAAGAATTCGACCGTCATGTCAACGTGGCCTATGCGGTATAGAGTTCAGTAACAAGCAAAATACTTATACCAATAGCCTCAAGTTCTTTAGGATTTGCGAATGCATTAGTTTGGTGATATACAATTACGATTGCATGATGCATGCATGGCTAATTTAAATAAGGTGTGCATGGAAAATACATACAGATCTTTTGTACTATACATGAATACTATTAAGGGGATTGGTAATAAAAACAACAATATCCCCGCAATTTGCAACAGAGGCTTTTTTGGGGCATGATGATTGGGAATATTCGCGCATATAAGTATAAAATTTGAGACAACTTTAGAAACCATTAAAGCCTGTCGCACACATAGCTCTCATGTGCAGCGCACGGTTTTTGCTGCGGAATTTGACACAAGAGAACGTGAGGAAAAATTCTATCGTGTTCGATTGTTTTGACCACGCAAGGCAAGGATCGCACCATAGGCATAGTAGCCAATAAAGCACATAATAATTATCTTTCGCACGTGAAAGTGTTATTTCCTGAAATAGAAGATTATAGCTTAGCACTTTACTTCATGTTTACGACAAACGTACATGTACATCTCAAAAAATTAGAATATTATCTCGACATTCAAACTAGTCTACGCATGATGTTTATAGCCTAAGTAATTGCATAATGTTTTTGCATCTAATGATTTGCTGACACTATAAAAGTTTCACTTTTTGAATCAAATTTGTGCAACGAAATGTTTTCAAACATATTCTAATTTTCTGAGATGCACCTGTATATAGATCTCAGCTAACCGGCACGCGTGACGACTAGCTCAGCCAAATGTTCTTGGGTGCGGCAGGCACTTAAGCTTCGTTAACAAAACAACATTTGTTCATTCCAAGTCGCATGAGAATTCCATTTGTCCGCTCTATTCAGTTAAACGATTGTTATGCACTTAAGAGTTATTCAGTATAAGTACGCTTATATTACCTGGCAGTTGAAATGTATACAGTATAACAAACAATTCATATACAAACATGCCCTATATAGATATAACCGAAAGAAGAATGTTTTGGTGTTAATTTATTAACCGTGTGTGACAGTGAATTTATCAGTAAATATTTTACCACCAATTTGATTTAAGTTAGCGGGACTAATTATAACTGTCACCGCATGACTATATGAAACAGAGAATATATAAAGACGCCGCAAATACACAAAGCCAGTATACATACAATACTTGTGAATATCATGCAGTCATATAAATAAGACTGATATAAACACATAACTCCTTGTAAAAAGAATCTAGGCTATGCATGTACGTCATTAACTTTTTGCTCCAGAGCTATAATCAGATAAATCTCTCGACCTGGTTAATATCGAACAAACTAATAAAACTATCTAGCAGCTCGTTATTTATTTACAGAACATCAAATACGCAAAATCTGCATTCACGAATCGATAGCAAATGAACAAAGTAACATGACTTTTATGCAGATGTTGCAGTTTAGGTGCACAGCTGATGGTAAATGCACTGTGAACCATCATTTAAACTGTGACTCAAAGTGTGCGGTTTATGTTTTGACATGTAAAGTGTGTACGAAGCAATATTTTTAGTCAACATATAGTACCTTAATAGTTTTGTTTGTGGAAACATCACGTAAATTTATTACTGCAAAGCTTTCGATCCGTAAGCCCGGATCTTCATCAGTGCTATAACTATTATATTTTTATCGTCATGCAAACTTACAAAGAACTTATATATATATAGTATAGCTTTATTTGGCAAAATTTTAAAATTCTGCAATTTTCAGCTATAAAGCCAAAATCAGAGGTGCCAACATATATAGTCAATCTGCAGACATGCATGTTTCGGCGTTCAGCTTGGTACACGTCTAGATACGCGATGCATTCTAGATACGCGATGCATTTGTATCCCATGAACTTGCTCTCACCAAGGCATGTAGTACAACACGACTACATATATATATATATATATATATATATATATATATATATATATATATATATATATATATATATATATATATATATATATATATATATATATATATATACTTTAGGATAGACTGAACTGTCCCTTCTTATACACTGGCAGATCTATATTATCTGCCCCCTGTTTTAAGACTTTTAAGTACATTGAACAACAATATTACATATTTTATATCCGACAATATTAGAATTACTGCACTTAAATTATTAAAAATTGTTATATATTTAATGTCAATTTAATAAATATGTAATCATAATGCAAAATTGAAACGTAGAAGGTGCAAATGCATGTGTGCATGCGCGTATATATATAGCTACACATTATATAACATGCAGACAATTTTATTTATTGTTATGAATGTAGATTATTAAATTAATGTTTATGTAAGAATTAGCAACTGTATCAAAAACAAATTAAACAAAGATAAAGCTGATCAGTTGGTTTCAAGTGCTGTATTGTTTTTGGTTGGCAAAGGAAGTTCAAGACCAGCATGCAATCACAGTTGCTACGCAGCAGTGAAAAGTCTGATACAAGAAAATTAAAACTCAATAATAAATGTCTGTGTCAGAGAAACAACAGCATCGTGCCTCAAATATAACGATCAATTACTCTTCTATAACGTTAGTAGTTTTGTTTTTATAGTTTAAGAACATTTATTATACACTCACGCGCACTTAACCAATCGAGTGTTTAGGCTATTAGGGTCACGGCCAGCTCAACATTTTACGATATTGGACAGCGGAACATATTGGACAGTTGTGAATCGTGGCTTTTTCATGGTTTTTAACCCTTTTCAGATGTTTTGTCAATTTCAAACATGCGACAAGCTATATAGCAGAGTAATAAAAGAATTTGGGACATTAAAGAGATATATGGCAATAAAAATGAACTTTGTCTTATTTGAAAGAACTTTTAAAGTTATATATGAAGACCCTTTACAACTTTTTCGTATCTTGCTGGTTTTCGAAATATTTTGACCAAAAACAGTGTGCAGTCCGCCATCTTGGTATTATAATTGACCTAATTAACTGAGTTTTTGATGACGTCACAAGTAGGGTAAACTTGTTCAAACGTCGTCATGTTGGACTAAATTTCTTCGAAAAGTTTCTTAAAATGTTGTGAGTTACTTGAGTACTAAAAAGACTTCGGAAAATCGAGTTTTATATTGATAATGGCATGTGGTTTGCAAGATAAAAATTTCGCTTTTTACCCTACTTGTGACGTATGCATATCGAATCATATCCAAGATGGAGAAATGCACGCTGCTTTTGATTAAAATAAATCGATTTATTTCGAAAACCAAGCAAGGTACGGAATAATTGTAAAGGAAGTTTATATATAATTTTAAGTGTTCTTTCAAATAAGACAAACTTAGTTTATATTGCCATATCCCTTTAATAGCCTACAGTTTTTTCTGCTAGTTTTGTTCAAAATTATAAAAGCGCGGGAAAACTTGTCTTCGCGAAATTCATTTGTTTGCAACAGCCTGGAGGTTAGTAATATTATTTTTTTCGTTAAAATTAGGTCAAATTTTCTTTGAACATACATGGAATTGAGTTTATTTATGCACGCATATATTTGTAAAAACAAGTTTATTAACCCTCATGTTTCGCTCGCTACTCTGGTTTAAATAAATGATTACAAAGCCCAGTCGAATTGTAATCAAGACCCAACGTTTCGACATTCCCATTCCAGTCTAGTGTCTTCATCAGGGCCAGGGGTGATCTAAAATTGCAATCGTAGCTTCTTAAATACCCAAGGGATGACGTCACCTGCCAATGAGATGCATATATTCCTCTGGCAAATAGGCACCGTCATCCCTATTCAAAGCATGATTACTCATATTTATATGCCACGCTTCAAGGCAAAGTCTTTGACCATAGCGATTGTTTGTGGTAATTACTTTAGAGTTTTCTACTACTTTTCTAATTACTTTACTCGTGTTTGGTGTAACATACATGTTCGGCTAAAGCTGATTTTCCCTTGTCTAAAGTTGAAACAGCCTTTTGATGTTCTTTTAGCCGTGTAGCTGCAAACTGGCGTTTAGACTGTCCCAAAAACTCTTTCTCGCAGTCACCGCATGGTATAGAATATACAGCATGAGTTTTCTGATTTGTTTTAACAGGATCTTTTGGCTTTGCGAAAATATGGCCTAAAGTCAAATAGGGTTTTAAGGCAACCTTAATATTACAATTACTTAAGATTCTCTTGATTGGTTCTGTGACACCTTGAATGTGTGCAGTATGGAACTATTGTATAACCCTTAACTGGAACTATTGCATAACAATTCGACTGGGCTTTGTAATCATTTATTTAAACCAGAGTAGCGAGCGAAACATGATTGATATACCTGGTTGCAGTGAACGAACAAACTTTAAGTTTATTAACCGTTTTTGTTTAATTACTTAAGCAAATTCGCTACCGATATATATGTATACTAATGTTGTCGCTGTATTACTTTATCGCTTATTGACAATTTTTTGTTATAGAATTGTTTTGTTCGATATAATAAAACTCTTATTGGATTCATCTTCAAGATATAGACAGTATTTATGTTTACCCTAATAGTAATATCGTTTATATTA